GTAATATTTGTCGTTCTATTTAACCTATACTTTTATAGGTTTTATTATTTATTTACATTTCTGTTAATAACCTATTAGGGGCATATCGCCTAAAAAACTCCCTCTCTCTCTCTCTCCCTCTCCCCCTCCCCCTTCCCCCTCTTCCTCTTCCTTCCCTCTCTCTCTCCTCCCTCTCTCACCCCCTCTCTCTCCTCCCTCTCTCTCCTCTTTGTGTAAGTGTCTCGTCTTTTTTCATCTCGAAGAGTCGACTTACCAGAGAAACGTATACCATGCTCTCTTTTGCCAGTATCTATTTTTTGGCCATTTAATTATGCATATTTTCACTGGAGTCATATCTAACATTATATCTAACAGCTTGCAAAAACTTCCAATCTCTTGTCTGCTGCCTTTCCAAGCCCTCCTCTTCTACCCCACCCAGTCTTTCTGTGACTATTCAATCACAGACATCCCAATACAGCTCAATGAGAAGTCTTTGTAAGGCAGGTGCACTGACCTCCTTGAGTTCAGTGCAGCTAAGCTAACCGAACCAGGAAGTAACAGGACCCTTGTCTGGTTGAAAAGCCAGGGGGGTTGTAACGCGGCGTCTCGGTAACCTGGCCAGTTGCTCCCGCTAGTTCCCTTCCATCAGCCAATCAGGAACTCTTACATGGTTAGGGGACTTAGCTCTATGCGCTCCCAGGCAGAGACGACACTCAGCCCTGGAAGCTCTTAGTCCTTACAAAGACTTTTCCCCCGCTGAATCCCAGCAAGCTGGAACAGCAGACACAGGGGTTAAATCTTCTTCCTTCCCTTCAACAACAGGACGACACACAGTTTGGGAGTTTTAAGTCTTCTCTTTTTTGCAAACAGGCTTCTTTTATGCACAGACCCATTTGTCAGTATATTTATATCGGCAGACATTTTGTGTTAAGACATAAATTAAAAGTGTATACTGTCAGTCACCCTCAGAACAAAGGTGACTCCATTTTGTATTACAAGGCTAAGACAGACACAAGATTTCTCTCTCTATCACTCTATTCATTCAAGTCTGAGCTAAGGAATGCGACTAATGTAAACATTAGAGATAAAACCTGAGATAAGGCATAATGTCTAACAGCGAAAGTGGGATGGAATGCTACAACTAACCCAGAGACAAATGTATACATAATTATATATACATATACACACACTATTGACTTATAACTTACTATATTATATTAATCATATATAGAATTAGTATTATGTTAATAATATAGACTATTCATGGATAAATATCAATGAAGAAATATCATATTATTTACTAATGTTAGTGGAGTATAGATAATCTTAAACACAATTTCACACAAGAAAACCTGACACCAATGACAGATAACACTAAGTAATTAATTTTACTTTCTAAAAAAAAAAAAAATAACGGAACATTACTAGTTCCATTGTAAGAAAAGGGTGAAATTAAGGTTAGGAGGTGTCAATTCTAAAATTACGATCGAAACTGCAGACACCCAGACTGGGATAACGCTTTGAAGTTTAAAAGTTTCGTGTTTTTTTTATGTATAGGGGCCATAAAAGATAAGAAAATGTTGTAAAAAGCATCACAAATTTCAGTTAACCCATTATACAAAGAGGTAAATGGACCCCCAGAATTTTCTGTGATGTAATTGCGCCATCTACTGACCAAAAATAGATGATAGTCTGTAGGGAAGACACACCTACAGTCCCATGTCCTGTCAAGTAGTGACGTGCAGAGAGTTTTCCCCATTAAAAGTAAGGACAAAGGGAAGAGAGGGACATTGGGACTCTTTGAAACGGATTCGAACTCTCTTTGAAACATATTCTGACTCTTGGACTGTACTCCAGAAACTCTCAACTCTCTCTTGGACACACCTAATTCTTATTATTACCTTTTCCAACTAACACAACTCCAGAACTGAAAACGTTTATATATTTTCATACAATCCTCTCATCATACTTGAATGTGAAATTCCTGGAATATATCTACACATCTGAGAGAAAATCTACAACATAACTGGTAATTATGCTGGTTTTATTTAATTAAATTAAATAAATTTTTACTAATAGCGGGAATATATATCTGGATAAATATTGGTCAGATATCAATTATTAGAACTCATAATTAGATAAGGAATATATTTTATGAAAATTCCATTCCTGCAGGTGGAATAAAAGATAAATATATATTAACGGTAAATTTGCCAAATGTTTATTTTTTTATTTTTTATAAATTCTTTATTTATAAAGGTTTTGATTTTGGGGAAGGGTACAGAAAAAAGGTTTTATGTGGCCCATCGGATTTGTGTTTGCTTTTTGGTGCACAGTTTAGTGCCCTGGGCTCGGGTTGGTGTCGTGTGGGGTTGCTTGCCTTATGTGTAGTGTTGTCGGGGCCTATGCTCCCCATGCCTTTTGGGTGTGGGGCCCCTTGAGCTTCGGTGGTTTCGCGAGGGTGTCACCTTCCTAGCCTAGTCTTCCTGAGAATACCTGGTCTTGGCTGGGCATTAAGTCCATACATTGATATCGTGTGCCAGGCGTACCTAGGGCATTTCCCCATATCTTCGTACTAGGGCTTCATGCTTTCTGCTGATTATTTAGTGTGTATGTGCGTGCTTTGTTCGCTGTGTGGGGGTCCTAACTTCTGTCGGAAGTTTAGGTGGGCCCGATGGTCCGTGTTTTGCAGTTACTTTGTGCCCCCCTGACCCCCTCGAGCCTCGTGTGTGCCCTGTGTATGTAACTTTTTTAACTGATTGAACTGCATCAAATATCAACCAAAATAAACATTCTTGTGGTATAACATCATATATACTACCGGTTTTGTAGAGTCCATACACCCGGTTCGTAGTATGGGAACCAAAACTCAGGTAGGGTTTGTTATAGAGTCCCTTGTTTGCCTTGCGCTGCCAATCAAGTGTCCCTCTGTGTGTGCTCTTGCGAAGCGTTCAATGGCCTTCTCTTGGGTTGCGGGCACGCCATGTTTGCGTGGGAATCACTCCTTCGGCTTGTGTTGTCATTCAAGGCGAGGTGAGGGTCCGCCGCAGGGTATCGTAGTTGTATCCCCAGGTGTGTGGCGAAGTTCTGCATGTCTGAGACTTGGTGGAGGGAGTAGGTTTGATCCCTCTTCTTTGCTGTTAATCGGAAGGGGTGCCCCCTTGTGTACCGCCAGCCAGTTTCCAGCAGGGCTGTGGTGAGGGGTTTGAGATCCCGGCGCTTTCGTAGCGTTGATGGGGCCAGGTCCTTGTAAAATTGCAGCTGTTGTCCCTGGTATACCGGGGGGTGATCTTGTGCCGCTTTCATGAGCTGTTCTTTCACCGGGAAGTATAAGATCTTAACGATGACGTCCCTTGGTGTGTTTGAGTTGGGGGACGGGGGTCTCAGTGCTCTGTGAGCTTGTTCGATATAAATTTCTTGCTCTGAGGTGTCCGGTAGCAGGGAGTGGAACACCGCTTTAATAGTGGGAAGTATAGCCTCCGGTAAGACTGATTCCGCCAGGCCTCTTATGCGTATATTTTGTCTTCGGGATCTGTTGTTTAAATCTTCCAGGCCATCTTCCAGGAATAGAATTCTGTCTTTTAGCATCCCCATTTCTCTGCCGTGACTTGTCACTTGTGTTTGTGTGTCTTTTAGTGTGCGTTCTGCTTCTCCGGTACGCGAGGCCAATGCTTCGATGTCTCCTTTGAGGCCTGCTATTTGCTTTTCAAGGGCTGCTGTGGTATAGGCCTTTATGTCTGCCGAGGTTTCTTTCAGCATTTTCCTTAGGTCCTCTATAGTGAGGGGGGCTGTGTGGGTGCTCTCGTGCTCACTCTCTTCGGAGTCTGAGCCTGAATTACCCTGGTTTTGGGCCCAAGATGTCTGCCTGTCATCCTTGGTGCGGAACATCGTGGATGCGGATTTTGTGCCCGGGGTGAGAGAGCTGAGGGAGCACACGTCTTACTCCATTAAAGGTTAGGCTCCGCCCCCCTCTGCCAAATGTTTTGTATTGTAAATGTGTTGACTTGTTCTGATATAAGATAGTGAATCTTATTTAGGAAAGTTAAAATTCGGCAAACGTAAAATCTGGTAGAATTATTCATATTGGATGGATAGAGGATAATCAAATGATCTGGTATGAACCTAACTTTAATTGTAAAATTACGATATAATAGGATATCTTGCCTATGAGGATTGTAGCCAGCATGGAAGAGTTAATTCAGTGTGATTCGACTGACAGACAAAGTTTTTATTGCTTTACGCTGCACTGCTGTGTTCTGTGAATCAGCGCTCAGGGAGGAGAGGGGTTTTGCCGCCCAATCAGAAGAAAGGACGCAAAACCCAGTTTGAATGATTGGAAGCAGGTAGGACGGTCCCCGACATGCGGCGCTTGTTCTCTTGCGGTTTGTGGTTTTCACACCTCGCTAACTAAACATTCTAAATGGAGTATCGGGGTGGTCCAGCGCACAGGGTTCCGTCTGCCAGAGCGCCTCGGCCTGGTTGAAAAGTAGAATGCATTGTACAGTGTAAAAATACAAGAGGAAACACACATTCAGCAAGGGAAAATCATAAGAATACACATTGGGGACACAAAATGCAGAACCAAAACATCTGAATATTCAGTGGGCATGGCACTTAGTTGCAATGTCCCGCTACAGGGGTGTTAAGAGTTTAATTTTAAAAAGTGTAAATTTCTATTTAAAATGCACTGTTTGCAATATGAAAAAAGATGACACACATAAAGCTTTTCAGCAAGCTAAAGTTGTTTAGGGGTCTGGAGTGCCCCTTTAATAGAGAGAGATTTTTTTTGCACTGTCATCATTGTATTTTTCACACTTGAATCATGTAATTTGAGGGTGCAATTTATCATTGGATAGCTCAGCTGTGTCTAATGTTAGCCAGTCTTAAAGATATGTGCCATGGAAGGCTTGAGACAGTGTGCGTAATATATATATATATAATGAGAGTAGGACAAGTAAGCAGTCCTGAAGCATCAAATTATCCATCCAAAATGAAGAAAATAGCTAAATATCATAAAGAAGTGTGTGTGTGTGTGTGTGTGTGTGTGTGTATATATACACACACACACACACACACACACACACATTACTTCATATTTATATTTAGTTATTTTCTTCATTTTGGGTGGATAATTTGATGCTTCAGGACCGCTTACTTGTTCTACTCTCTTTTTGGCTATAAATCTGTAAGCTTTGTTTTCATGTTATACACAGTGCTGTCTGTTTACATCTATCCACGGTTAACCCCCTTGAGCTGCCCCCACAGGTGTAATTTTATACCTTTTTATATTCTTCTATAGGATATTTTGTAATTTGCTAAGGATGGCTTTTCTAGGATATTATTACACCTTAAAGGGACATGTTTAGCACATAGACCACTCTATTTCAATGAAGTGGTCTCGGTGCAGTGACCCCACTGTTTTGATCTCACAATGTAAAATATTTCCATTTTGGAGATACAGCTATGCCTACGTTGCGCTAAACACACCTCCAGTGACTGTTAACCTGACAACCACTAGATTATGCTTCGGTGTCCAGAAACATGTTTGACTTGGTTCTCGACATTTGACATCCTCACACATTTCATGAGGACGTTGAAATCCAATCAGTGCTTCTCATTTGAGTTGGTGGATCATTGTGAATGCTGCACATGCACTGTAGGTCCAATAACATATGTCTATGAAATGTGGTTCATTGGATGAAGAGAAGACATCATTGTGATGCAAGAGTAGTTAGTTAGGGATGAAGATCAAGACTTAAGGTAAGGTTTGCTATAAAATCGGGGTGTAATTGACCCCAAAAGGGCAGTCCATGAATCTAAATGAAGACACAAACCTAGATGGAATGTGTAAAATATATATATATTTTTTGACAATAGTTTCCTTTTAGGTTTTCAACTTTGGGTCCTTGGTCCTTTCTATATTACTGTGTTATTGTACTTTCCAGGGATTACTCCATTTTTCCCAAAGTTCTTTGGTTTTCTATTTTCAGCTACATTTTTGTAAAAAAAAAAAAAGAAATTCTAAGTGGAATATTTTTATAGCGTATTAAGTATCCTCGTGTATTCAATCCCAAGTTATGCTCTGGGAATCATCTTCCAATAATATAAGGGGTCACAATGTACCACAAAGGAAGTTTAAAAAGCAGCATAGCCCAGTACTGTTTATTGCAAATATTAGTAATTAAAAACATGTACATTATAGTATGGGGAACACTTATTGTAAGTGTCAAAGACAAGCACTGTGTAAAGCCACAGTTTGCAAAAATGACCATCTCTGGTGATTTTGTACTGTCTTTGTAGGTTTGTGTTTATATACTTTTATTTTTGGTAATTTTGTGTAGGTGGGGAGAAGCTAAGTAAGTTTTAGCTGCCGATTAACTGCTTTTCATTTATTTATTGATTTGTATTCTATTCAGTTACAGCATTGATTTTAATCTTTTGTGTATTCTTGACGTTCGCTTTTTGTGTGTGTAGCGTAAATAATAAAAATGTAAAATGATAAGATTATGAATTCAATAACAGTAAAATGTATTAAAAAAAATACAATACAATAATGTGAAAATATAGCTTCTTTAATCAATTCTGCTCTATTTTTCAGTTGTGGCGCTAAACAATTCACGTGAGTACGTCTCTTGTATTTATTAACTGAAGTAACTTGAAATATTTTATGTAAAGTATGAATGTGCATGTAATACTATAATGTTATATTCCGCAGGCTCCCAAGGATTACATCTTTAAATAACAGCAGTAAGGAGAAGTGCCATTGTTCTGAATTAGAGAGGCATGTTTTTAATTACGGTAGTACCATATAGAAGAAATGTAATCTCAGGTGGTCTGCTTTTGGATATAGCATGGAAACATCCCCATACGCACAGTATTGACGGGATACTCTAAGCACCACAGCAATTTTGGTTTAATGAAGCTGTTTTGGTGTATAGATCATGCCCCGGCAGTCTCACTGGCCAATTATTAGCTGGGAACTCTGATTGCAGTTAATTTATTCTGACCTTAAATTTGGTATTCACTTTGAATTCTTACTTTAGTATATAACCCTGACTGTGCAATAGGCTAAAATATTTAGAATATTTTTCAGGAAGTGTGTAGGGGGGCTGTGTGAGTATCAGCCGGGGGGGAGGGGGGGGGGCTACGGCTGCATAAACAAAGTAACTTAACTCCCTAACTTCATTAAGCTAAAGTTGTGTTATTGTCCCTCTAAAATGTACTTGTGGCTATCCCAGTGCATTTCAACCCTTATTGGTCTCCCAGTCAACCTGGCATGCATAAATGCAAAGATAACACTAACCCTTTGCAGGATCACTAAAGTCATCCAAGCCACTTAATCTCAATGACGTGGCCTGGGTGCAGTGGTCCTGTCATGTTAAGGTAAAACAGCTATTTTGCAGATACTGCAATGCTTATCTTGAAAGGTTAAACAGGCCTCCAGTTGCTGTTGCACTGGCAGCCACTAGTGACGCTTCTTCTGCAATGACGGAGTAAAACCTGGTCACATTACGCGTTGCAGCCCCCATAGGAAAGCATTAATTTAATGCTGTCCTAAGTGGAAGCATGAATGTGCATGCAGAATTCATCATGTATGGGCACCAGGTCCCCAATGCTCCTCTATGAGAATCAATGGGTTGGACCCCGTCATAGAAAGCACTGGCTAGGGCTGCATAACCTTGTGGGAGAAGGAGATGTAGGCAGTCACGAGGACATCTTGGCACCAGAAAAAGGTAAGTAAAAAGGCTTTATATTATTATTTTTATGGGACACACAATATAGGGCTCAATAAGTGGGGAGAGGACACTAAAGTGTTAAGAACACATAGTTGTGTTCCTAACTGTTTAGTATTCCTGTAAGGCCACGTGCACTATAACTCACATTGCATCACGGGAAGGCCTCCATAACAGCCTCTAAAATACCCCTTTCCCATACCAATGTAATATTTCCTAATGAGCTGTAAAGGATGTCGAAGGGCTTTATTTAAATCTCAGATAAGTTTTAGATACTTGTGCCATTGCAAAAGGAACTAAAACCATTTTTATATGTGACTGATATCACTGTGGAGGACAGTACACAACAAAACTCTGAATTTGTTCTATATCCATTTCTCCTCTCATTGGCTATTGCTCATGGCCTTCTACCAGTTAATGTCATTGAGTTTTATTCAGTATAAATGTATAATTAAACTGATGATAATCAGTAAATTAACTGGGAATGTGTTGATCTGCAGGAGCTGAGGCCAGACCCATCATTTCTACCGTTCCTAATACAGGAAAGATTTTTAAGGGAGAATCTATAACTCTGACCTGTAACGTGGATGGTCCATATTACCACTACCATTATAACTGGCAAATAAACACATTGAATATAGAAAATGAGAAGAGTTATATCATTAAGTCTGCAGAATTCAAAGACAGCGGGGATTATACATGCAAGGCGTCCGGTACCAGTGATAGAAGTGATAGAAGTGATCCTTTCACACTGGAAGTTAGTAATGGTAAGTTATTACATTAACTCTGAATGTGCTGCTTAAAAGTTTTGTATCATTGGTTCCAGATGTTTTTAGTGATGATTGATGTCATGGCATCTAATGAAACTGCAAACAAATATGCATTTTTACACACAGAACTGTTAAAATATTGTTTCTACTGGAATGTGATGAGAAAAATGTGGAAGATGTGTCTGCATGCCGCAAAAGAAGGGAAATCAAATATTGATTGGCATATCTATTAAACAACACATTGTTCATAATGTTGCAGTGTAAGCATGCAGAAGCCAAACACAGAGATATGGACACAAGTCTTCAGGAAGTAAGAGGCCTTTATTCACATTACCGATCGGGTCTCAGATGAACTCCTGTTCCAAAATTCTGAGAGAACAACACATGGTGCTTGGGACTTTTGTTAACTGCATATCTCCTCCCATACAGTATAACCCCTCCTATATTCCTCAGACCAATCAGCACACAGGATATTCAGGATCACCTTATATGGCAGACCACATGGCTTGTTGAAGACAAAGGATTTTACTATCCACTTCCACACATGCTCAGTATACTGATGACTCATCAAACTGTTTGTAACCAGATACTAATTAGCATATGCCATGTGGAGATTTTGGCCTACTAAATTTTGACCATGCTGGAATCCCATCACAATAAAGCTGATGAAGAACAGCTGTTGGAGCAAATTGGGAACGCTGCACACCTGGGTTAACATTGGAGATTTTAATTACCTGGGCATAAATTGGGACAGAGGGACTAGTAATTTAGCTATGAAAATTGAGTTTTTGAACTTGTTAAATGACACCTTCATGTCACAACTGGTACAAGCACCAGCTAGAAAGGACACTTGTCTGGACCTGGTTCTAACAAACAATGTTGTTCTTTTGACAAACATTCAAGTAGGTTAGCAATTGGGAAATGGTGATCATAATATGGTGTCTTTTTAAATAATCTTAAAAAAACTAATGCACATGTATATATTTATATTTGATATACTGACTCGCATAAACTCTTCCATAATCAATGGAATATCTTCAAACAAATATTTCTCAGTATGTACCATTGGGTAATACAAATGAAAGAAACAAATTGAAACCCATGTGGCTTAGTAGGAAGGTAAACCAAGAAATTAAATATAAGATAAGCACATTTAAAGCATGTCAATCAGACACATCTGAGGCATCCTATGTAAGGATTACTATAATGCATGCAAAAAGGCAATTAGCTTGGCTAAACTAAAAAATGAGAAAGTGATAGCCACAGAGAACAACACAAACCCCAAATTCTAAAAACAAAACAAACAAAAAAACAATAATGAAAGTGTAGGTACACTGAAAACCGGGATGGGAGTGTTAGTTAAAGAAGACCAGGAAAAGGCAGACATTTTAAATAACTATTTCTCCTCAGTATATATTAAGGAAGAACCTATGGCTATTGATATGCAAATGATTGCTGCAAAAAACATTTCATTTGATGACTCAAGACAAGGTGCTGCAGCAACTAAAGAAAGTTAATATAAACAAAGCTCCAAGGCCTGATGGTATTCATCCACGAGTACTTAAGGAACCATGTGTGAAAATA